AAGTCCTACATATGTGCATGACTATCAAATCCCGAGGAAGGCCAGGCCTTTTCAAAACACTTATAGAAGCCTCCTTCTCCAGCTAAGATTTTGGTTAGAAACTATCTTTTGCTCCAAGGATTACCCACTGCCTCAAGCAGTTGTATGTTAATCACTTATCTCTGAGACTTTTCCAGCAAATTTCCCTGAGGAAAAGCCTTTTCTCACCAGGCAAGCTCCAATCAAGGAAGATAAAAAGAGTCTTGCAAGTCCAGTCTTCCAGGGAACCACCAGACAGGTCAAATGACAACTCTCTGGGAATGAGGAATTTGAAAGAACCCCCAATCCCTTTCTTCCTCCTCTTCTGGTTTCCAGGCTGCTGCTTTTCCCCTTTGTGTACTGTTGGTTTTCAAAGATGCAGCAGAGGTAGAAGGGGGAACAGAAGTAGGGCAAGTTAGAACATCACAAAGCTCACTGTTCATGCCTAGATCCAGGCATTTTTCTTGAATAAATACTGCTCAGATTGCTGAAGCTTTTGTAATTTCCAGAACTGTGAAAAAAACACTAATTCTGACATTTTGAGCCAATTTTTTTCCTTGCTCTATGAGGGATGGACAGTTTTCAGAGCTCCTTTCTCTACCACATGCACTGGCCTTAATGAATGCTTTTTCAAATGAATTGAGTTTAAAATAGACACCACTGTTGACATTTCTGAGCACTCACATAGTTCAAGGTCAAGTATTCTATAAACAGCAATCATTCTACCAACAGGAAACCAAACTGGACAGAGTATGAACTGTAGACAATGAACACACTCCAAAGATTGCCATAATTTTTCAGAGGGCAGAAGCAGTCTGAGGCGATCTTATTACATACATGTATCTTGGATTTCTATGAGAAACTAAATGTGGAACTCTTTAGCATGGGTAGCGCAGACAGTCCACTCTACTGTGGGAAAAACCCCAGCAGCCCTGTAATTCTCTTAGGTACATACAGAAATCATCTCCAAAAGCTCCACCTTCTGCCCAGGCACACTAGCTGTCAGTACTTTTCTGTCTCTGAAGTGCAAGGGACCATACAGTTGAGCTTCAAAGAGCACATCTTAGGCTGCAAGGCACACTCTTTTCCTGACTGAGGTTAACAGTCGCTTGGCGATGATCAATCCCTTTTCTAGAGATACTGGCACCTCTTTCAGATCTCTTAGCTGATGACATGGGGTGTAATTCCTGGGTAGGAGCAGGGAGATTTGAGTGATTTTTAGGCAAAAGAGGGCTATTTTCAAGTGTATGGGCTTTATAAAAATCCCCTCTGAAGGCAAGGCCAGATTCACTGGATTCATGGAGAGACGTAGCAGAGCCTCATTAGTAGCAAGCAGGGGTGAATGAAAATCACCAAAATAAAAGCAAAACAAAATGGTCAGTGTTGTGTAAAGGAACTTCTAAATGAGATTCTACGAGACGGTGCATTTATGAGACTCTGAAATGAATTTCTATCTCCATATTTAATTACATCAGATTGCATTAGTGCTGGTCCAGTTAGGAATCCATTTTCATAAATCATCTGAATAAAATATTTTGATTTCTGCTGAGGTGATGTATTGTGTTTAAGATTTTTATAGTAGAAATGTAAGAATGTCAAATTCTTCAATGGAGGACAGAGAAATCTAACTTCACAATTAATCATTTTAAAAGCTGACTCTGAAAGTTCCTAAAGATAATGAAATGGCATGTATTTTAAGAAAAAATACACGCAGAACCTATAAGCCAACTGGTGTTGAAGGCTTTTTTTTCTCAGACTCGAAACATTTTAATTTGTAATACGTAATGTGAAATAAATGCCAGATGGACATTCAACCAGTCAAGTTGAGTGTGAGAAGTTTCAGGGAATGCTGGGTGCACTGATGGAAGGGTCGTTAATGGACACCCCTCTAGAAGAGGAGGGGCCAACAGCAAACAAATAAGTTCACTATTCTCTGTTAGCCAGAGTGGATCCTCTACCACCTGGGGCTCTTGCATACTTGAAAAAACATTAAAGTGTGATAAAAAAATATACATTAATTGAAGATACAACATTTCATCTATTTCACAGTGTTATGTTGCCAAGACGTGGGGTAGGATAACAATTAGACATGAAGAACCCTGACAGGGCGATTCACTAATACGGGCCCTGTCCCAGTCACCTTCTTATCACTGAAACAAAATCCCTGGTACCCAAGACTTAAAGGAGGAGAGGTTTATTTCAGGTCATGTTTTCAGTCCATTATCAGCTGGCTCCACGGCAGGAAGGGCATGGTGGGAGGTTCTGGTAGAGGCAGCTGCTCACATCATGGTGGTCGGGAAGCAGGGGCCGAGGAGCTGGGAGGGAGATACACTCTTCCAGGGCACACCCAGCGGCCTGCCCCTTCCCTGACCAGGCCCTACCTCTTGACGGCACATTTTCCGGTGGTTTCATCAGTGAATTCATCCACTGATGAGTACAGTGCCTCCACGATCCATTTGCTTTCCAAAAGCTCTACCTGTGAGCACGAGAGTTCTGAGGCTCATTCTTGATCTAAGCCCTAACAGACCCTGGGCCCTACATCACAGGAAAGCCTGGCCTCATGTGGCTATCCTATTTAAAACGTACCACTAAGCAACCGCACATGAGCTCACTGATGCAAACTTACCTGGAACAGACTATACTTTCCAAGTAGATCACCTCCCCGCCCCAAGACAACTACTGCATGAAGTATTTTTCCACCCAGAGTAATGACTGCTTAACAGAACTACACACAGGGGTTGAGGATGTGTAGCTCAGTGGTAAGGGTATTTGCCTAGCATGCACTTGGCCCTGGCCTGATCCCCAGTACTGGCAAAAAAGAGAGACAGAGACAGAGACAGACAGAAGGAAAGAAAAGAGAAAGAAAGGAGAGAAAGAAAGGAAGGAGGAAATGAGGAAAAAAGAAAAGGAAAGAAAGAGAAGAAAAAGAAGCCTTAGATTTGCTTTTTGTGGCAAAGCACTGGAGACAATTCAAATACACAGCATGTAGGCAAGTTTTCTGTAGTCAAGAACACTCCTTTATAGTATCAAAAATTTAAGAATGACATCAGCGAATCTCACACAGAATTTCCATAATGAACAGCACCCAGTCATGTTTTAAGTTGCATTTCTCATCCATCAAGCCCAGGTGCTGCACCCAAGGGTTAACGTGGGGACTGCCCAAAGGCGGACTGTCCATCCAGCCCGCTGCAGGTGTTCAACAGTTTATCACAGACAGAGAGAGGATGCCTGGCGTACAAGGATCTTTATAAAATTTCAAACAAGTTAATATCCATTCGTTATCTCAACAAGAATTCCTGAATGTCAGGGTAGCACATTTCATAGCTCCATTTGAAGACATGATGGGAAGCAGGTGAAACAGAAAGATATAGCAATATATTTACTGTCACTTTAGTGATGGGTAGCAGTCACTTAGTCCTGAAGCACATGTGTGAAGTTTCATGCCACACTGGTCAGCCGCCAACTTATGTACATGGAGGGGTTATATCAAAACTTCAATTATTCCAAAGGATGAAAGAAACAGTCCATTTGGACACAGATCTTTAGTTCCTATTATACTCTACGCCTTTGAAATGTTAAGGCTGAGCAGACCAAGTTATGAAAGGGACAGGAGGAAGTAAGAACAGTGCGATACAGTTGGAACACATGGTAACTTTCTGCCTGCACCAGTCTACGTGGACAGTCTGCTTTCCGGGCAGCAGGTGGTGCGGCTGTAAAGAGATCACACATTTGTCAGTAACTATGTAGGATTTTTGGCACTGTGAGAGCCTAGCACTGCAGAGTTAGAGCAGCTAATAAAATGCTGCCAACCAAATTTCTGTCATCTGAAAATTTTTGAAAATAATTTTTTTTCTACCAAGCAAACCTTCTGGGTTCTTCTTTCAGTTCTGCCTTATATAAAACTGTATCACTAAAAAATTTTTTAAAAGTACAAGAATCACTTCACAGCAAGTAGATGAACATCTGGCAGCAAACACTGAAATACCATCCTTTTAGAGGAACAGCAGAAATACGTGACTCTTTCATGAGGAGCGTGTCTCTCTGGAGGGGGAGGTTCACGGGCTTTCTGTTTATGGACTTTCTGGTTTTTGCAAAATCCCAAGGCTGAACATGGTCCTGCTTTCTCTGTATTTTCTCTGCGCTATCTGGACAACAGTATGTTCCACATGAACCAAAATGAACACGACCTTACACACCGGGTAAATAAGCTGATGTGCACAGGCTGAACTTAGAATCGCTCTACTAAAAACTAGCAGCAGAAGTAGCTGGAGCCAGTTTTTCACATGCTTATGATATTTCAGTCAGTATAAACTGAATCATAAGCCCATCTAACAAGAACAAGGCAGGTCTTCTTTTGGCAGGAGTTTTCCCCCTTTTCTTATTATGTGGAAAATACATCTAAAAAGAAAGGGATCAGATCTTTTAAAGAATCAAATATACTTTAAACTTCCCATGCATTTAAAAAAAAAGTCTCATCAGGAAATTTAAAGATTCAAAAATTTGTTTTCTCTGATCTATTAAAATAAGAGTGCATTTCATGATCATCATTTTTGTTTTTAAAACTTCTCTCCAGAGCCTCTTAATGCATTGCAAAACTCGTAAACAAGACTGTACTTTGCAGAGGGCGTGGGCTCTGGGATCTCGCGCCTCCTCGGGAGTCTCACTCTCCCGCCAGCTTGGATGCCCCACCCAGCCTCGCAAGAGGACTGAGGCCTGCGTTTGCTGAAATGCTAAAAACTGACAAGTTTCCACTGGAGAAACCAGGGAGAGCAAGCTCTCCAGGAAATAATTCTCTGGGGAAAGAAGGAGAAGAGAAATATCACCGGAGGTATGTTGTTCAGAAGTTAATGTGGGTATATTATCAAATTGTAGTTCTTCAGGGAACTGCAACTTGCTTTAAATTAGATGTGGGAAGGCTTATCAAACTGAACAGTTTATGTATGAGACACACATAAAAGAAAAACACAGAAGACAAAATGTCCTTAGTTTGGGGGGAGGATGTATTCTGACTCGTGAGGAGGGTGAAGGCATTTCGGCTGTGACGCCCGATCACACTTCCAGAGAGCTCTTGCGGCCCCGTGTTGCACGGGACAGGATGGAAGCGCCTATTCCAGCCCGCAGGACTCTCCCGCCTGGCGCACGCAGCGCCTGACACGCAGGGAGGTGGCCGCAGCAGCAAGCTGGCAGCACTCCTGAGGCTCATGAGTGTTTATCAACTCAGCAGGTCGAAAGTCTGCAGACACTGGGTGGAGCAGCAGTAAGCCACAAAACTAACTGTTGTCCTCCTGCAAGGGGAGAGAGAAGACAGAACACTTTATTAGCTCAAGGTCAAGCCTGTGAGGCTGTGCTCGGTGGTGTAACTCAGTGTGAAAGCCCTGGGTTCACTTCCCAGTACCCCCACCTCCTCAAAAAATCAAGTCTCTGGATTTCTTTCAGTGGAGACTTTCTTTGTTAAAATTAGTGGTAGGTGTGGTTAGCAGACCACACTACAGAAATGTAAATTTCCTTTTCAGACTGACATGCTCACCAGAATGAGGCGTGCCTGTGGCTGCATATGTGCTCACTTTGTTAGTGGTGTTCGGGTGACATCCTACCCCTAACATAGCTGCGAGGGAAAAAAAAGCTTTTTCCAAATCCTATTCTGAATTCTGCTTAGTAGAACCCACTGTACAATCAAAGAATCTGAAGTACATTATACAAATCGTAAACAGAAAGTGTCACCAATTTAGCTAGAACACATATATACTACAGACCTTCAACAACATAATTTTACAAAATTTATTCTACAAATGTATTTGCATAGACTGTTTCTGAAAATAATTTCAGAATATGATAATACAGTTCAAGGATCTCCCTGCAGAAGAAAACAGTGTGATCCCTTTCACACTCTGGTCTAGGGGCCTTTGCACGGCCCGTTGTGAGCAGCTCAGGGGCCTCTGATGCACCCTGGACAGCTCCAGCCTTTGGATGCCTTGGCATCCTACCAGGAGTGCATCCACGGAGGGGAGAATAATCTACTAATGTGTTCTATTTTCCCACCACTTAATCCCGTCTCTGGCTTTCTCCAGGAAGGTGACTTCTATAGGCTCTACCCCAGAAGCCGCCTGTTGCTGGCTGGTAACGCGCTGTGGAGTCATGATTATTCAAAGTATCACACTGGATGCCAACGGGCAGCTAGGCACTGGGACAGAGAGCAGCTGGGGACACTAAAAGGTTGTGGCATCATGGTGAACTCAAAGTCTATGACTATGCTGAAGAGACCTGAGAGGAACAGAAAGAGAGAAAGAAAAACAGAGAGAGGGAGTATAATGGCTTATGTCTAGATGTCCCCCTAAAACCTCATGTGGGCATAGGTGGGGTTTTTCTAAGGTGGCTGGATCTAGAGAATATCGTGCTGGGATTAAGGGTGTGTGGTTACTAAATCAGCCCACTGACTGGTTTGGCATAGCTCTGGGTAGGATTAAGGGTGCCCCACCCTGGGTGTGAGTGCCACCTGCCCTAAGGATAAGATGTAAGGGACAGAAAGAGGTTCTTGATTGTCGTTCACTGCTTGATGCTCACTTGTAGCTTGCTGACTGCCACGAACTGTTTCTCCTTTGCGATGCCCCTCTGCTACTCCACCCTGCCTTGGAGCCAGACAGCTGTGAACTGAAACCTCTACAAACTGTGAGATGAAATAAACCTCTCCTCCTTTAACTTTGGGAGTCGGGCATTTTGTTTCAGCAACACAAAAAATAACTAGAAAGAAAAAAAAAGACAAGAAGGGAGCAAGCAAGCTAGCTTAGTGCTCTGAAATCTCAAGGCATGTGAGATCTGAAAGTTTCTACGTTGTTTTTAAAGGAATTATTTTACAAGGCTTTGAAGGACATGACTTGGGCCTGAATAAAGAGGTTGCAGAATTACATGCCAAGTAATTTCATGCGAAGTCCGTGGAAATAAGCTAAAAGTTCTGGTGGGGAAGGAAGGAATAGGAACTTGAGATGGGAGCCCTTGGACAGACACCAAACTAAGAACCCTGAGCTGCTGACATCTCTGAACATTTCTTCACATCAGAAACAGTCATTTCTACCTTATAAGAAAACTAGCATTCCCTTACATAAAATATTTCAATGGCTTTATGTGGGGATGGCTACCTAAAAAGGAAGGACCCACCATCACCAATACTCACTGTCTCTAGGGCCATGGAGAGTAAGACTGCAGCACAATCCAGGATCGTTGCCAAATTTGCTCCCAAAAGAGATAATGTTCACATTGATGAGTCATAGGAACTTGCCAGATTGTATCAGCAAGAAGTTAGAGAGAAATGTAACCAATGAGAGCAAACGGAATGTTGGATCAGGACAATGAGGGTACTTCTCCTAGGCCTGAGGATGTGCTGTGCTGCTCTAGCACTTAGGAATGGATAACAGAGGCTGTGACTCAGGGGGGTCTAAAGCCCATGAGAGGAGATGCTAAGAACTCCCTCTGCCCACTTTAGAAGGAGCATAGCAAAGGCTGAGAGAAATGGAAACACTGTAGCATAATGAACCTAAGGTAAGCAGAAGGACAGAAAGACAAAATGAAATGAAAGACAGCAATGAAATTAAAAACATCACTAGGATTGAGATGGCTACAACTAGCAAGTCTTTAGCAAGACCAACAAAGATAAAAAAAAGACACAAATTAATACTGGAGATGAACTATAGATCCTGAAGCTATTAGAAAGATATAAAGGAATCATATAATAATTTTACAGTCATAAATTTGTCAACAGAGAAGAAATAGACTAATTTCTTAGAAAACACAAACTACCAAAACTCAACCTTAAAATAAATTGAACGGCTAACTCAATAGACCTATAACCATTAAAGAAATTCACTTATAATTTAAAAAAAGGAAAAGGGAAAGAAATTGCCATTCCGAAATCATTTCACTGAAGAATCTTAATAAACATTTAAAGAAGAATCAAAAGGAATTTTTTATACAATCTCCTTTAGAAAATTGAAGAAGAGGTACACGCTTCAACTCATTTTAGGAGACCGGTATTACCCTGATTCCAAAATCAGAAAAGAACAGAAAAACAGAAAAGTACAGGCCAGTATCTTTCATGTGTATAAATGAAAGAATACGCAATAAAGTATAAACAAATTAAATATAGAAAAGTATAAAAAGAATTATACATCATGATCAAGTGAGAATCTTTCCATGGTGTGTAAGGCTGGTTCAGTATTTCACAACCAGTAACAGGTTAATGAAGAAAAATACGATCATATCAAAGGGCTCAGAAAAAAACACATGACCAAATACAACTTTCATTCATGATAAAAACTCTGAGCAAACTATAAATAGAGATCTGCCTCAATTTGATAAAGAGAACATATTTTCTTTTTCTTTTTCTTTTTTTTTTTTTTGGTACTGGGAATCGAACTCAGGACGTTGTGCTTGCCAGGCAGGTACAATGCCACTGAGCTATACCCTCAGTGAGAACATATTTTAAAACCTTCTAGTAACATTCTAGTTAGTAGTGAAAGGCTGAATGTTTTCCCACAGAGACTAGGAAAAAGGAAAGATTGCCCACCCTCACAACCCTAATCAGCATAGTGTAGGACGAGAAGTTCCAATCACTGTGAGAAGGCAAAAGAAAGAAATCGAAGGCACACAGATCTCAAGGGAAAAAATAAAACGACCTGGAGATGGCATGACATGCTGAAAATCTCAAGGGATCTACTAAATAATACTCCTAGAACTAGTAAGTGAGTTACAGCATACAAGATAAAAATACAAAAACAAACCACATTTCCATAGACTAACAGTGAATACATGGAAATTTAAAGAATAAATATATATACTTTATGACCACAAATAAAGTAAAATATTTTGTATAAACAAAACACTTAAGGATCTGTATGCTGACAATTACAAGTCACTGGTAAATGAAAGAAAAGGAGACCCGCACAAGGTGAGCGACATACTCCACTCATGGCTTAAAAACTCAACCTATTAAGATGTCTCTTCTCTCCGATCAATGTGTAGGCTAAATGCAATTCTTACAAATAAATCCCAAAAGTTTTTTATGAGACAAAAATAAACTTATTCCAAAATTTAATGAAGAAGTACACTCGAGAATACCTAAAACAACCTTTAAAGGGAAGAATGCAGTAGAAGTAGCACTATCAGAAACCAAGGTCTATTATTTAGCTATCAAGAGACTTTGATACTGGCTGAGAAAGAGAGACAGATCAGCTAAACAGAGCAGAGACCCACAGCAGCTTCGTGACCTTGGAACAGGTAAAGGTTTCGTGGGGCACAAAATTTTTTATGAAGTTAAGATGGATAAATTTGACTTGATTAAAATGAAAAACTGGCTTTCAAATGACACCTTTCAAAAAGGTCAAAAGGCCAGAACAATTTTTTAAAAAGTATTTTTTTCCTGGTGTTCTAGGGATTGAACCAGGGCCTCACACATGCTAGCCAAGTGCTCTACCATTGAGCTACACCCCCAGTCCTTCCAAAAATTTTTATTTTGAGTCAGGGTCTTGTTAAGTTGCCCTCAGCCAGCCTCAAGCTTGCAAAGCCACCTGAGCGGCTGTGATTATGGACATGTGCTGCCACACCTGGCTTGACATTTTTTTCTTAATTTTAGAAATTATATACATTTTCACTTGTTCATTCCCCTTTTTACAAAGCTAAAGTTGGTTACAACCTGAGTTCAGGTAATTTTTATGTCCTTTATGATTTCAATCACAATTGAAATGAATTTCAGCCAGAAAATGATCTTAAATAGCTAATTCATTTTGGGGGATTAGCTTGCAAAATGTAACTCTCTCTGTGTTTGAGTCTTTTTTAAAAAGTTAATTCTGGGGGCTGGGGATTTAGCTCAGCGGCACAGAGCCTGCCTGGCAAGCGTGAGGTCGTGAGTTCGATTCCTGGTACCAGAAAAAAAAAAACAAAAAAAAATCAACCAAACAAAAAATAAATAAATAAATAAATAAATAATAAAAAGGTAATTCTGCAAACCACTCCTAGAAGGGATATATTTACTACAACCATGAAGCTTTATTTTTTGTTTTTAAAGCAAAGCTTCTAAGCAAAAGAAACCAAGTCCACAAAGATGCGGGATTTATTCTCACTGGGGTAAGCAACCCTAAGGTGTCCTCTCTGTGCTGCGAAGGGATCCCAGGCTGGTACTGTCTTGCTTTTGGGAGACTCACCTAGTGACAGATTGCACTTGCTTGTTGTTACAACAACCCTATCAAATCTTGCCTTAAGAAAGGAAGCCGGGCATGGTGGCACACGCCTATAATGC